ATCAGGGTTATACTTGCTTCCAGGAATGATTTTGAAAGAACTGCTTCCCTTTTAATTTCCTTAAAGAGTTTCAGCATTAGTATCATAAGTTCTTCTCTAAATTTCTTGTAGAATTAAACAGTGAATCCATCAGGGCCTGGGCTTTTCTTTGTTGGTTAATTTTTTAATTACATTTTCAATTTCATTGGCTGATATCAGGTTATTTAGAATTTTTATATCTTCTTGATTTAGTTTTGGCAATTTGTGTCTAGGAATCTGTCCATTTCTTCTGTGTTTTCTAACTTATTAGAATATAGGTTCTTATAGTAGATATTAATGATCTGGATTTCTGTAGTATCCATGTGATTTCTCCCTTTTCATTTCTAATTGTTTGAATTTGTTTTTCCTTTCCTCTTTTTGATGAGGTTGTCAAATGATTTATCAATTTTATTTAGTCTTTCAAAGAACCTACTTTTCTTTTTTATTTTGAAGTGACTAATAAAAAAGAACAACAACTGAATACCAACAACATAGACAAAAACAAAACAAAGTAAAAATAATAAAAATGACACAGGGTTTCAGAATAAAATGATAGGAGTTAACAGTGGTTGCTATATTCCATATTGTTAGCTTCAGCAATGCTGCTCAGATTACCAGATGTAAGAATGCAAGATTGATCAAACCATTAAAGAGAATAAAAAATAAAAACAAAAAAATTAGAAACAGTACAGAGATTCACTTTTGATTCACTGATTTTTGTATTAGTTACTTAGCCTTTATTGCATTAATTTTTTCATTATCTTTATAATTTTCTCCCTTGTACGAGTTTTAGGTTTGATTTGTTCTTCTTTTTCTAGAAGTTTGAGGTTTAACATTAGGTTGTTTATTTGAGCTCATTCTGTTTTCCTAATGTGTGATTCATTACTATAAATTTCTCTTGTAGGCCTGCTTTCATTGGGTCCAATAAGTTTCAAAATGTTGTATCAGCATTATAATTTAATTGCATATACTGTGTAATTATGTCTTTAATTTCCTCTGTGACCCATTAGTTATTCAGAAGGGTGTTGTTTAATTTCCATATGTTAATGTAGTTTTTGTGATTTCCTTTGTCATTGATTTACAGTTTCATTGCATTGTGGTCGGTTAGTATGCCTGGGATGATTTCAATTACTCTACATTTACTTAAACATGTTTTGTCAGCTAATGTATGGTCTATTTTGGATAACATCCCATGTGCAGCTGAGAAGAATGTGTATTCTGATGTTTTAGGGTGGAACATTCTGTAGACATTTACTAAGTCCATTTGTTCACAGGCTTGCTTTAACTCTAATATCTCTTTCATTACATTTTGTCTAGTGATCTACCTATTTATAAGAGTCGAGTATAAAGGACTCCAACTACAGTTGTGTGACCACTTATTTAGTTTTTAATGTCATAATATTCTTAATATTTGTTTAATGTAGTTGGATGAACCTGTGTTTGGTACATAAATATTTATGATTGTTATCTCTTTTTCTTGGAGTTTTTCCTTAAGAAGTCTGTAGTGACCTTCTTTTTCTCTTTTGATTAGTTTTGGCCTAAAGTTTGCATTGTCTGCAAATTGAATAAATACCTCTGCCTTTTTTAGGGTTCCTATGGCCTGAAGAATTGTTTTGCATCCTTTGACTTTTAGTCTATGAGTTTCCTTTTGGGTTAAATGTGTTTCTTCAATGCAGCATAGTGTTGCATCTTGCTTGATCCATTCTGCCCGTCTGTTTCTTTTCTTTTTGGTTTTTTTTTTTGTTTGTTTTTTTTTCCGGTACCGGGAACCGAACTCACGACCTTGTGCTTGCCAGGCAAGCGCTTTGCCGCTGAGCTAAATCCCCAGCCCCCCGTCTGTTTCTTTTGATTGATAAGTTATGACTTTTTATGTTGATGGTTATAACTGATGTGTATTGGCTTATCTTTTTCACATTATTTTCCTGTGGTTTGTTCCCTGTCTTTCTTCTCTGTTTAATTGCTTGCCCTGCCTCCTGGCTTCTTTCTGTTGGTGTATGTGCCTTGTTATTAAAAATATCAGTTGTTTTTAAATCTACTCATAAAATTTTCCAAATATGTTTTTCTTCAAAATAAGGTAACCTAATTTCAATTTCTTGCATAGTACAATAGGAAATCATACTGATATCATTTGATAATAGTACATATGTTTGGAAATTTAATATATACATATAGTTATAGCAGTATTTCTAACTACAGTTGTACTTTTGAAAACATTAAATTTCAAAAAACATCTTTTTAAAAAATGATTTGTTTGGGACCCTGGAGTATATTCCCTTAGAGATGTAGAGTCAAATTTTGGTCATTTCAGTTCACTTGAAATAATCTCTGTCTCTGTGGTATGTGGTATGTCAGTATGTGGTTATGTACAATTTATATTTTGCTTTCAGTTCTTAGGAACTGACATTTGAGCTCTTTTGATTTATACTTGTTACAGAAGAACTACACAGAGAAGTACTTCTTGCATGGCAGAGGAGGTCCACCATACATCTTGTCACAATGAACCAAGTACAAACATGGAAATGACCAAAAGCACACCACACACTGAGAAGAGCTCATTCGCAAGCAACCACACAAGCCTCTGTAAGAACAGTAAGGGTGCTACCATCAGAAAGGCAGCTGTAATTTAGAATCCATAGAAAAATTCCATGTGCAGAGAGGTTGTAGAAACAGTTGTCATTGGTGCAAAAACCAAAGAGCAACAGGACAGCTGCCAGAGGGTGCAATACTGGCTGAGGCAAAGATCAAACCAAGAAAAAGAAAAATTTCCCAAAGAGAATTGGAAAATGAGACAACCATAGGGAACTCTGCTAAACTCTGTTATTTACAGAAGTTTGAAAGCCTACACACACAGACACACACACACACACACACGAGATAAAAAGAGCACCACAGTTAATATATCCACATTTTCTGGTTATATACGAGGACTTGCATAAAACTGAAGTACAACTCAGAATAGAAGTATAAACAGTCAAGCTATGAACTCGTGCCCTCACCCACCCAGGGCTCCTCGGCACAAAGTGGAGGCCTTAGTAGCTTAAAGTGCTATGCTCAGCCTCTGCTCCATCATTGTTTTCCCTTCACCTATGATGACTTGGGAATGGCTCCTAAGAAGCCTGGATTAATAATTACAATAAGAACTAAAGAAAGCATGGGAGAGAGGGAGAGAAGGAGGGAGGATGGAAGGGAGGGAGGGAAAGATATAAGGAGGAGTCCTGGAAGGGACAGATGAAGGACAGAAATAGTCATACGTGTAATAGAGGTGGGGAGGGTGTAAGCAGAGACATCAGTGACTACTGCAGGGCAAGCAAAATCTACAAAATGTGTCCAGGCAGGGAACTTATAAAAACAAAGAATAATAAATAAACACACAGTAAAACAAACAGACCGACAAAATGCTTTACTTGGTGAGTCTCATACCAAACACTGTTTCCATTCAGCAGTGAAAAAATAAAAGACAAATTGGCAGCACAAACTCCTTATATCCATATGCTAAAGGTATAAAAGCCCAATGCAAAGAATACCTAGAATTTATTCCCATTTTAATAAAGTGGTAAGAAAAATAAATCTAAGCTCACCAGTTGCAAAATGCAGAGTCATTGATAGGTTTGACTACAAAGGGGTATGAGGGTTTATGGACTTTCAGCTCTTGATTGTGGTATTATTTATATGACTGCACACATTTGTCAAAATAAAGTTGTACATGTAATGCTGGAAATTTTACATTAGTAAAGCTGATTCAAAAGGATTTTTTGAGAGTTTATTTTTAGCAGATTGTTTTGTTTTTGGTTTTTGCTGCACTGGGGATTGAACTCAGATTCTCACACATGCCAGACAAGCACTTCACCACTGAGCTACAACCTCAGCCCCCAAGACACTGCTATGTCAACATATTCTTCCTTGATCACCTGTAAATTAGTCTTCACTTCTAAGATGAGTTTCTCACTTTTTTCTACTTCTTTCCTGTGGTAAATCAAATCTCTTCTAATTTCTGCCTATTTTATTAATTTTTGATATTTGGATTCAAAGAAATACTTTAGCATGCCAGTTTTCAAGAGAATCAATTTAGTTTGGACACTGTTACAATTTTTTTATCTACTTCCTCAGCATTTGTTGAGAAGGAATTATCACCTGAAATATTTTACTTTATTTTGATTTCATTTAATTTTTTTTTTTTTTTGAGACAGGGTCTTTCTCTGTAGTCCAGGCTGGCCTTAAACTCACAATGTAGTACAAGCTGGCCTTGAATTCACCACAGTCCTTCTGCCTCAGCCTCTAGAGTGCTGGGATTATGGGTTTTATCCCCAGTACTGAAAACAAATTAATTAATTAACTAATTAATTAATTAAACTGGGCATGGTGGTGCACATCTGTAATCAAAAGTTTTAAAGAAAGAAAAATACCAAAACAGTAAAAATAACAAAGACCAACTGAAGAATCAGTACTGCAACTTTAGACAGAGGGACACGGTGCTGGTTGTTTTCTCCCTCACTAGGTTAGCACCTACATGTACCTCTCTCATGTTCAGGGTTTTTAAAAACACTAGCTGAATTAATGGATGTATCCTAAAGCGATTAACGTTTAACCAATGTGTTCTGTCACATAGCACACAGTATATGTTCCAATCCCAAACCTTATAACCACTCTCTTGCTCCCTTTTCTTACTTATCTTGTGATATGTCTGCCCTGCAACCCCTCACATACACTCTGTCCCTCTGTTTGTGTTTGGGACAAGCTAGGTGTTGCCTTACTGTTTATAGAAAATGCGTGCATCTATAGTCTAAGCTACATTTTTGCTTAAAGTTCTAGGATGAATATGAGTGAACTAAAAAAAGAATGCTGGAGTGTTTCAGTTAAGTTAATCATTTAAATAAGAAAAAGAGTGCCAATGTTTCAAATATTCCACCAACATCAGAGGGGATAGTAAGGAGAAAAAAACTAAAAACATGATGGTTAATCTAAACTCATATGGTAGTTTGTGTTTATTTTTATTATTATTAGTTTATTATTAGTAGTTTCCCATTGAATATAGATTACATGCAGGAAAGGTACCCTTGTCATGGTCCTTACACTCAAGGAACTTAAAATAAAAAGAGGAAGGAAGTCCTGGGTAAGAGCAATTCAAGCAGCAAAAGAGGCAGGCTTGCAGCAGAGTGCAGCTGAAGGGCTCTCTGGGCTCAGAGAAGGGAATGGCTGCTTCGCACACAAGGGTTGGGAAGATCTCTGCACAAAGTGACACCAGGAATGTCAATCGATGGTTTCATACTACTGACAAAAATGGAGATGCTGTCCTAGAGAGTTCCAGAAACTAAGCCACATTAACAAGTGATTATTATGCAAAAAGAGCAACAGTTTAAATAGACTGTAGAAAGGATGTCCTCATAATGCTGTCCAAAGTTCCTGGAATTTGGCTTCTTGTTACCATGGAGGAGGCAGAAGTAGGTATCTCATGAGATACCCTGATATGAGCTGTGGAAAAATGGGAGAAACATGAGACAAGTTGAAGATGGCAAAAGAAAAGCTTACAATGGTAACAAATACGTAACAAAGCTGGCAAGAGAGGAGGAAGTACAAAAAACTCACCAACGTTTCTTATACCACAACACAGGAACTATCAGAAGCACCAGGAGCACTACCACTACCAAGGTAATCAAGGTCACAGAAAGGCCGTGTCCTGTAGTATTGGAGATATACAATCATGTCATCTTAAACTCACTGCTGGTTCTCCTCCATCCATTGGTTTCCTTAAGTAACATGTGACTGAGTAAAAGTCACACCAATCATCCTGTTACAGTCACTCTATTCCCATTCCTACCCAAGAAAGGATTCTCTATCTTCCCCCAAAAGACCTTGAACCTATGTGTTCCTCAAGTCTGGCTCCTCCTTTTCTGGAATTATTCATGTTCATGCCTTCTTCACTTCCCTCAACTAAATCTGGTATCAGACCTTCCTCTGTCCTACCTCAGGCTCAGGGGCCACCCACTCACACTTCCAATCCCCCTCTCACCCCAGTAGAGGATGATGTCCTGGTCTCCTAGACTGCTGTGTCTCACTCGACAAGACAGTCCAGCTGCCTCTTCAGCTGACACATTCAGGGTCACCCGAAGATACCATGTCCCATCAGCATGGGGAAGAATATCATCTTGTTTAGTGCCCCGTTGTTCCCGTTCACCTCGCATCCACATTACCCAAATAGGCTTTGGGTAGAAAGCAGAGATGTGACAAATCAGCAACAGTTGGCCAGACTCAAGGATGGGGCTACTGGAAAGCCAAACCTCCGGCCTCACTGCATAGAGCACAAAGAAGACTCAGATATGGACATTTAACATACAGTTTATGTATACAGATGTCCAGGTCAGTATGCAGTTAGCCTTTTTCTTCCTCTAGGAATTATCACCCAGCAACAGTGCTCCCTCTTGCCCTCTTCCTTGTGCTAAATTTGAAGAAGGTGGCAGGACAAGGTGTGACTTGAATAGAACAATCTCAGAGGAAAGGACTGAACTGACCTTGTCTTTGAAGATCCATCTTTCCTGCATCCAGGAGACCCAAAACAAAACGGGGGCACATGTTTCTGATGAGGTTGTATGCTATTTCCTTGATGCCTTTATAAGGGTTGAGTAAATCACAGACCTTCTGGGCCCTACTCCCTCCCTGAGGAGCTGGCACCCATGATGCATTTTGGAAACTCAGGAAATCTGATCCATTAAAAGCTGCATGGAGGAAGCCTTTCGAGCTCTTTCCAGAATGCAGCTCACAGCCAGCTCTCACCTGTAGGTAAAAGGGACCTGGGGGAAGAAAGGAATGAGAAAAAGATATCAAATGAAGAAAATAAGAGCAATAATATGAGAATCCAAGGGGCTGATCAGGAACTGGCATATAAAGGTTTCATGTAGATGTGATAATGAACTAAAGATATACACAATTAGAAAGCAAGGGAGGAAAAATTACTGGGGATGAAGAATGGCGCTGATAAAAGATAAATATCTTCAATTAACAAGATACGGATCTGAGCACAGTTTGAGAAATGATAGGAGAGCCCCATCATATAAGCTACAGGGGGTGGGAGGAACTTTTGTGAAGGAGAGAGAAGTGTAGCATTTCATGATGTATAAAATTGGTCACCACAGTTGTTACACTGTGAATGTAGATCCCTGGAGATATTGAAGAGCTGTATTTTCAGAAAATCAATTACAGAGTGAGCAAACTGTCTACCACTGGGTTGTAGACCACAGAAGGAGATCACAGAGGAAAGATGGCAAAGCTCAGAAAAAAAATATATATTCCTAAAGTAGCAAAAACCTGGAAATTTTCAGTAAATGTTTGGAATATCCCCTAAGAGATTTATGCATGCAGACTTTTGCCTTGGGATGGGATAATGGATGTGTCTGAGAAAGGAATAGAAAATATTTCACAGAAATAGCACCCTCAAGAAATCTTAGTTGAGTTGATTGAACTTACATTTGAACTGAAATTGACTGGCGTAGTTTTGTACCTCCTGAGTTAATCCAGCAAAGTAGACATGGAATAGCACCTGCATATCTACCAATTCTTCATTGCTGAAGTTGCTCCGGGACCAGGTGTGCAGGAAAATTATTGTGCCTGATTCACTGTCCCAGCCATGAGTCTGCAATTCACCCAGCCAAGCTGAGCCAAGATTTTGTACCCATGATTGGTTGGCATATGATGAGATCTGGATTAGGTACCATGAGATGTGTTCCTCGACCACTATGGAAGGTTAAGCATCATAAGGAAAACAGACGAGAAAGGAAAAAAGAAAGAGAAGATAGAAAATGAACCAGTTACCAGAGAAAGAAGTAGAATAATGCCCAGCTTAGCAATGACATTTTCTTACGGAGGGCCCCCTGCTCTGACACAATCCTCCAAAAGAATATACTATACCTGAGACAAGGTGCTCCAACTCCAAGACTTCCAGTATTCTAAGTAATCTATCTTGAGAGAGCTCACAACCCTCTAACCCAGACCCAACCAATTGGACCGCAATAGAGATGTTCTTACCATGTGCGTTGTTACTGCCTGGAAGGAGAACATCCAAGAACAGAAATTGTAGAAACAGCATGTCATCTATAGATGTCTCCTCTTCTTACCAAAGCTGGGCATTCGCGTCAAATCTCAACAAATGTACTATTTCATGTGGGTGTAACTTTCTTCTTCTACCAACAACCTCCTCTACTGGCCGTTGATGGCTATGAAGAAAATCAACAGCATCCTTCAACCTTGGGCCTCCTACTTAATCTCTCATTTGCCCTCTATCTTTGAACTGGTTATCCTCTCTGCCCTTGATTTGAACTGCTCTCCTCCCCACTAAGCTCCATCCTATTTACAGCACTTCATCAGCCATTCCTGGAAAAAGTGGCATGTGACATTTAAAGGTCACTTCATGGCTCTAGAGCTTGCACCCTGTCTGTAAAACGAGAAGGAGGAACTTTGTGCTTTCCCGTGCCCCTGCTCACTTTAACAGATTGCAGTCCTTCCAGTTTTTCCACTTAGCTATGCTTCCAGACTCCCTCACGTCCCCCTTCCAGTTGCTCCATCTCTCTGCCTTTTAATATCCTCTGAGCCTTCCCTTTCCCATTTCATCCCTTCTTCAACCACCTTTCCCATTTTTCAGCTCTCATTGGTGACTTTTTAAGTTGAAGAGTTTGCTTCTTTATATCTCTTTGTACTTTCCCATTGACCTTAGACATCACATTGCAGCCATTTGAAATATATATGACTATAGTATAAGGAAGCCCTTCTATTGAGAGTAATCCATATATTCAGTTACCAGAATAGTGTCTCATATATAATAGGTACTAACTATCTTACTAGATATGGGAATATACAGAGATCAACAATATAGTTTCACCTATGTATTTTAAACTACAGAAGTATATTTAAGCTGAGAACTAAAAGGCATTGTGATATTTTCTATTTTAGTATGAAGAATCCCAGATACAAATATATTTATAAAAATGTTTTCTAGAAAAGGACTGCACCTGCCTGGGGTGCTTTTGGAGTCCCTGGAATGTCCATAATGTAAAATTCTAGAGGACCAGCATGCACTTCTCCCTGAGGACTGACCTCCATGCCGTGTGCAATTGTGAAGAACGAGAGGCTGCCTACAAGCAGAGACCATAAGCACCACATATAAGTTAAATTTTGTAATGTGACCAAATTCTACAGTCAGGAACCAATGTTTCTGAATGTTCAAGTTTATTGAAGTAATCATGAGATGTTCTTGGTTATTTAGTAGTAATCCTGACCAGTTAATGTGTGAAAGCAAAATCATTTTGGGACCCAGGCAATACATTTATTATTATAGTGCCTGCAAAATAGTATTCACTGAATGCAGGGGTGAGCATACTTTGGAATCACATTTGTGACACTATTTCCTTTTTAATACATTTAATTTATTGTATATATTTACTGTGTAAAATGTGATGTTTTAAAAACCATAGTGTCTTTCTCAAACTTGTTGACATTAATAACAAGGCTGGAAATAACTTACAATAAGCTCTTCTTAGTATAGCCAGGAATATTTGCAAGTCTCCATCAGCTACAAACACCTTTAAGAACAGTAGTTCCTCTTCAAATAGATCACCAGAACCAGCATTCACTTTGTGAATGGTAAGCTCTTAGTTTGGGGTTTTAGGAAGTGGTAGCAGGTACAGTACTATCTGCTCTCACATATTTTTTCTCTTCTCCATAACTCTACAAGAGAAGCATAGTTCTGCACTGTAGGCTATGGAATGTGAAAGGCTGGAACCATAAACCACCTTCAGGCTTCGCTATTTAAGATATCACGTCTGATGTCCTTGCTCTGGACTACTGTCTTGGAGTTTGCCTAATGAACCATGTTGTGGTATATGTTCTACATTTCATTTATAACTGTCACATAACCTAGCTAGACTGGCTAGCTTTGTGGTGTTATAAGTGGCATCCTTCCTTTCTTGCTGAACTCAGAATCCACTGTCATAAAGATAGCACGAGGTAGATGAATCAAATTTTCAAAGACTTGATTGTTTGCCTGAATAACCTAAGTGATCTGACTAGGATTGAACCCCAGATGGAGTGATCTTATTCACTGTTTTGTGTGTGGATGTGTGTCTTTCACCAAAATTCATATGTTGAGTCCCTAACCCCCATAGCAGTAGTGTAATGCTGCACCTGCAAAGGAAGTAATTGGTAAATGAAATATTAATGGTGGGGCTTTGATCTGATTGGGTAGGCATCCTTATAGTAATTATAAAAGACATTGGCCAGCTCTTGGAGCAAAAGGCTGCAATCCCACTGTAATCCCATCACTTTGGGAGGCTGTGGCAGGAAGATCACAAATTCAAGCCCAGCCTGTGCAACTAAGTGAGAATATGTCTCAAAATAAAACAGTTTTTAAAGACTGGAAATGTAACTTAATGAGAAAGTACCATAAAAAATCAAAAGTACCAAAGAACTAGTGCTTACTCAACATTCCTCTTCTTCTCTCTCTCTCCCTATCGTCTGTGTGTGTATGTGTGTAATGGTTAGCAGTATCCCCTCATTATTGTGGACTGATTAGGCCTGCAGTCTCCCACAGAAATGGATATGAAGGCTTAAATAAATGAAACAAGTGATACGATTTTAGGATTCTAGGAGTTTCAAAACCATCTAACAGAATTCAAGATTCTGTAGGGGCTAAGACAAAGAACTTCTCTGGGCAGCCCATATTTATTTGGTTTTCAAACAGAGAAGGATACTGAAGAAAATGAGTGACTCTAGCAGGATCCTGGGAAATACTTTCCTAAGTAGTAAATTATGTCAGTCAGGAGAACTACCTTATCTTTGGGTTGGTATCTATTGTAGGAGTGTGGAGCCTGCAGCTCCGGTCTCCTTTTAGTTAATTGGGGTTGGAACCTAATGTCTTCAGTTGTGGCCTCATGTTGTCCTTTGAGGCATCTCAGCTTCCCAGGCCAATATAGGCTTCAGTGGGGACCAGTGACTCGTAGAGTTTCATTTACTATGAGTCCGTTGCTCGTCACCAGACAAGGGGCATAGATAGGCCTTGCACAACTCACAACTAAGCGTGAGAAAACCAAAGGGTTAGTATTAAATCCTGCTCAGAGCCACTTCATAATGGTCTCCACCGTGTGTGTCTGTGCATCCATCAAAGAAAAGCCACGTCAGCACACAGTAAGCAGCCAGCTGTCTACAGTCCAAGAGGACTGGCATTGTGAAAAATCGAATCTTCCAGAACCTTTATCTTTATCTTGAACTTCCATTTACTATAACTATGAAAATAAACTTTTGTGCTTCATGGGCTTTTTTTTTTTTTTTTTTTTTGGTACCAGGAGTTGAACTCAGGACCTTGCACTTGCTTATTCCACTGAACTATATCCTCTGCCCAATTTTTGTGTTTTAAACCACACAACGTACTGTGGTTTTTGATAGCATCCTGGGCAGACTAACAACACTCACCTAGTTGTAGCAGCGCTGGAAAACCCCATCTGAGTCTGCCCGACTTAGGGGCTGCCCCTGTGCATGAGAGAACAGAGGAAGAAAACAGGAGAAGGAAAAAGGGGAGGGCAGAAGGTACAATCTGAGAGCAGCTTGCTACAGAGGAAAAAGGTGGGGAAAAATATATATACCTATGATAGGTATATAGGTAAATAGAGATACAGATATATAGATATAGGTATGTTCTCTCTGCTGTATTCTTGTTCTCAAAGAAAAAAGTGAAAAATGAGAGAAAAAAAGTATTTTAGAAAGATTCTCTCTCAAGAGAACTAGCAGAGTAGTAACACCCTCACCCTTGCCATAGTAAGACCCATCGTCAGCCAGACACTTAGAGCCCTGCTTTCTTTGGAAACTTGACTCCTTTAACTCCTACGATAACCACATCAACGCTCTCCACTGAAATCAGCTTTTCTTCTCCAGTCTCATTGACATGAGTGGCCCCAGGTTAGGCCACCGTCCCCTAACTGAATGTCACAGATACGTCAGCTCAGCTCTCTGCTTCAGTTACTACATGAAATGTGGACATTCCAGGCATGGGGGCACATGACTGTAATCCCAGCCACCAGAAGGCAGAGGCAGGAGGATTGTTGTGAGTCTGACAACAACCTTGGCTGTATAGTGTGACCCAGTCTCAAAAAAAAAAAAATGTGAACTTGATCACATTGATCTCCTGCTTAAAATATTTTTAATTGCTTTCATGAAAATAACCAAACTCCACCAGGTGTGGTGGCGCACGCCTGTAATCCCAGCACTCAGGAGGCTGAGGCAGGAGGATCATTTCGATTTCAAGACCAGCCTAGGCTACAAAGTGAACTCGAGGTCAGCCTGAACTGCATAGCGAGACCCTGTCTCAAAAAGACAGAAAGAAAGAAAATAACCCAAACTCCATCCCCGAAAAGGGAGGGAAAGAGGTAGTATACAAAGAGAAACTGTCAGACTATCTGTGCTGGTGAATATTTGTAAATCTAAGCATCTGGAATTTATGTAAAATGCTGTAGGGAGAGGAGAAATTTATAGAGGACCTCTGGATAACCCAAATGCTCAAAAAAGGGGAATCTGAGAAGTGTGGGACATCCTGTACTAGCACCCAGCCAGAAAAGAGGGTCTCGGCTACCTGGGGGAGCCCAGCATTCCTCCTCTCTCCCCAGTTTCCCTGAGCCCCTTCCCCGGTTCTGCTAATACTCAGGCCGCAGGCACCACCATGTTCGCCTTTGCCTGGGCTCTTCTGTGGTCCACCCTAAGTCAGCCTCAGGGGGTGGCTTTTGTCCCCTGACAAACATAGCTTCTCCCCAGAACTCTGATGTTATCCTCCCACCCCACACCATCCCACACCATCTCACACTCTGCTCTGTCATCCCCTTCCCACAGGCAGGAGCCCCACCCATTGCCCACTTCCCTCACAGAGAAACCCCACAGCCTCCCGTGACCTCAGGGCTCCCTCGGGGCTTTTCATTTCCCCTTCAGCTCTGCTTCATTGCCCTCCGCAGACCTGTCTCTAATCTGTCTTCTTCTCAGTGCCATCTACAACCATGGAAAGGCCCCAGCCAGACCAGCAGGATGAACTCCTGGCCAGACCGCTTGCTGTACACTGTGAAGTGACTGGATTGGAAGAACTCAGTGGTGTCTAATTCCATTTCAAATTTAATATTCTTTGATTTGATCTGTGTTCTTCGGCATTCCCATTTACATAGTCTTTTCTTTCTCTTCTCTGCTA